TCATCCAGTGTGTGGGGGAATTTAAAAATAGGGCAGGATATGCCCGCTATTTCAAAGGATCATACAGTAGGCTATCATCCCTTCCTAAGAGGTGGAAGTACAGGCTGGTATATAAGGTGAATACGTCAAATGGGATTGCGGTTATGCCAAGAGCGTAGCGACCGTGGTTCTACTTTTAAACATGCATATGACGTGCCAATCCCATCGCTACAGGTGAAGCGTGGGTTTTACATAGACATCGGCCACAATTTCTATTTTATGTAGAGATTTGACCTAGATTGGTGCGGTTATCTCAAAAGCTTATCTACCATTCTTTCGAGTTGGTATTTATACCGAGATGGTGAGCTTATGGCAGCCTGGAAGTGATACTTGGCTGGTTCTAGATCTAAAGGAAACTAAAAAATTTGGCTAAGAAATCCCCACAGACGGCGCCAAATTGTTTAACCAAAAAATTGTTAAACCTTTTAGTTAAACTAATAAAAAGAGAGATAGAAGGTAAATCTTAGCCAAACATAATTAAGTCTAGATCAAAACATATTGAGTACAAAAATCGGAGAAGAACAAGCTAATTTAATATTTCTTAAGATGATTATCATACATCAAATGGAAATGATAAGCTTACATCTATGATGGGTTTGCATCATAATCGTAAGAGCACAGAGGTAAAAGAGAGAAAACTGTTGATAACTAAGAGATCCCCCCTTGTTGGTTCCGTAACGATGACTATCAAATGTTGTATCCAGATCTGGATTCAGAGCCCCTAGTAATGGTCTCCTGCCTCTCTATATATACCAATTTTCCCTTTTATCCAATGGTCTTTGACCGGTGCGCTTTCTCATGACTGGGTCCTTCATTACTTGACAAACATTATAATTGTTCTGCGATGTAAGTTTTCTAACGGCTTGATCTCGACAGGGACCGTGGTACTCGTCGTCATTATGCCTCGTGGGCACGACTGTGGCTGGGTCAACCTCTTACCGTCCCCTTTAATGATAATCATCTGGCGGTCAAATTTTGACCCATACAGTTATCAAAGTAGACAGAGATCCTTGGTGACTCGTCTCACAATGCTTAACGTGTTTTCAGCCACTATCACGTTAGGCAAAATTCGGTCTGAAAAGCAAAAATATCGGTTAAGCCTTAAGTTTGACAGGTAAAATGTTTTAGCCTATCTATGATAACTATTCCAGCAAGTCGTTTTCTTGCTTTTCTACTAGCTCATGATTTGAGGCCATCCCAAAGAGCAGGGAAACAATTGGTCCTACTCCTATCAAATATGCAGCTGTTTATGATTAGTGGTGCAGCTAGATTTTTAGTTAAGGTAATTCAAAATATTAGAAAAGTGAACACATCAACAAATTAAGGAATTCAACATATAGTATGCATATAGATAATAAAAAAAAAATTACCTATCTACATAGTATAATTTTTTTCTCAACACCTCTTGGACAAAGGTAATTCCGCCCCGATTATGATACCGAGAATTAACCTAAGTAACCTAGCTCTCAGACTACCGCTTAAACTAAAAATAGTAGGTAAATATATAATATATATTTATAATTCATTTATAATATCTGTATAATCACATATAATTATTGTACAATTTATGTAAATTGGCTAAGAAAAGTAAGCAGTAAATTCAACTTGCTATGTGTGTAAAAGTCTGTTGATATCACATTTTTGCTAGAAATGACGCTAGATGGACTTGTTCTAAATCACTATTTATATTTTGACTCCATTACGAAAAAAATTGAGAAAAATAGCGCTGCATTAGAATTTTAAGATCTGCTAGCCAGAATTTAAAGCATCAAAAATTCTGGCGATCACAAAAAATTTCAGCGCTAAAATTTTTGAAGCACCATAAATTCTAATGATTTAGAATTTTCAGTTAGAATGCTGAAAAATTCTGGTGATCTGTCAGGATTTATGGCAATATTCTAGAGAAAATCTCACTTTATACCCATTAATTCCAAACTATTTACTCTTTAATGCCTATGCCCAAGCTATTTACTACTCCTACCCATGGCCCTCAAACTATATACCCGCCTATTTACCCTTTAATCGCGGAGGCGCATGTCAGCTTCATAAGCGAGAGAGTTGACGGCGTCTTTCCTTTGGTGAGGCTGCAATTCATTGAGCAGCTTTGTCACATTGCTGGCTCCAAATATTTTGTGAACATTTGCAAATTTTTGGGGTTGAACTGGCGGGAAGTAAGGAGCAAACACGCATTCTGGCTGACATTTTCGACGTAGGAATTTACATGCTGCACATGGTGAGTAGGATGATAATGAAGATGAAGCCATTAACAAGTATTATAGCTAGTTTGCACAAACACTTCTCTTCTTGAAGATTTATTGTTTGATTCGATGTGGTGCTATTAAATATTGCTTATAGTATCTTCGAGTAAGCTTCCATATCTAAATTTTTATGTGTATTTGAATATCCACCATTGTTGGGCTTGGAAGCTCAATTTTATTTTTGAAGATTTCTTGTTTGATTCAAAGTGGGTGCTATTAAATATTGCTTATAGTACCTTCTGGAAGTTCATACTGAAATTTGATACCGTTTGGAGTTGATTTGATGTGATTGAGATCGAAATTTTCAGTTGAAAATCGAAGAACACAGCTACAATATACCGCTATGGTATACAATATGTTGTAGGAGTATATAGCTATACTGCAACACTATACTATTATAGTTTACAAAACAGTATACCGCTACAGTATACTAATATACTATAAGAGTATATAGTTATACTACAACAATATACTATCATAGTATACAATATATTGTTATGGTATACTGTAATAATATGCAAGATACCGTAACAATATGCTGTAATAGCATACAATATACTATAATAGTATACTTATTACCTGTAAATTCACTTGTCTTTTCCCTTTTAATTTGTTTTAAGCTTTTACCCAGCGTGAGGGGTAAATTGAAAATGCGAAAAAAATAAATATAGTATGCTATATGATGTAATGGTATACTCTTACAATTAGATCCGTTTAGAATTTTTTTTTTGACAACTGATATTATTTCAGTTTAATAATTAAATTAGAATTTTTTTGACTCTTTGCGTACAATTGTATACCACGTTGGTATAGCTATATACTATACTGGTATCATATGTTAGTTAATATTTTTTTGGTTGTATTAACTACATTTAATTGATGCACAATTTAATTTTTCTTTAGTAATAGTATAAAAAAAGAATAATAAAAAATACTGAAAACAGTAAATGAAATTAGATTATGAAGAGAAAAAGAATATAAAAAAATAGAAGTTAAATGAAATTAGGAAAAAAGGAAAAAATAAGAAGAAAACGAGAAAAAAAAAGGAGAAAAGAAAAAAGAAGCATAGAAATAAAAAAGAATTGGAGAATAAACAAAAATTCCCCACAAAACCTACTATGGGTAGGAAATGTAATTAGTTTATAGGTAGGAAAACAAATAGGTAGACAAGGGTAAATAGTTTTATTTTTGTGGGTAACTGTGTCAAAACCCCTATATTCTAATGATCATCATAATTGCTGAAATTCTGCCTAATGTGTTTTAAAATTCTTGAACTGGGGGAAAATCCTGCCTGGTGTGTTTTCAAAATTCTGTCATGGGGCTTTTTTCTCAAAGCTTCTAATACAGGATCAAAAAAATAAGTACTGGCACAAGAATATTACTCCTTCTATTTCAAAAAGATTTTAATTTGACTAAGAAGATAAGATTTTTGAGATATGTGGTCTTAAATAAGTCATAACTTTTGTATGATTGTAAAACTTTTAGAACTTGGTGATCTGAAACCTAACACATCACTTGTGTTGCTATAAATACTTTTTATTAAGGAAATATTGAAAGGTACTAATTTTTTTTGAAACGGACTAATAAGCAAATCGTGTCAATATTTTTGAAACAGAGGGAGTTATATTGTTGTCATTCTCCCATATATTGTCACACGGATGGAACATTTATACGTAGCATAACAACAAATAGTCAGTGCAAGGTCAATTTTAAGGGACCCAAAGGAAGGTGCTATGCAATTTCCTCTTCGTCCATACTTCACGTATAGTCTCTTCTTTATCATGATCACTTACAATTTCTTAGAAAATTCCAATGATCACTTTCCTAGGACATCACATTACTCAACGTCATCTCTTTCCCTTTTTCCTCTTCCTATTAGCGAAACAACCAAGCATTTTACTCACCAATAGATCGTAAAAATGAAGACCCTAAGGAAAGTCAATTTCAATGCCTCAAGGAGTTGTTTGGTTCACGTATTAGTTATGTTAGGATTATAATGCAACAATTGTCATACAACAACTAATAGTATGGACAGAGGCGGATTTATAGGGTAGTTTATGGGGCATGTAAATCCATAGTCTCTCTGCCAAATTAGGTATTTTATGTATGTGTTTTTAGAATTGGTCAAATATTATCTGTTGGCAATCATATTTCACAAAGGCTTAATGGTATACTTAGTTGAATACTGAGTTATTTATTAAAAAAAAAAAGGATCAATTCCCAATTAATACTTTTCTTCTGTGGTGCACTCATATTTTAGAAATTCTAGATTCGCCTCTGAATATGAATTATTATGTAAATAACTATTGAGGTTGTTATCTGCGGATTATTTACTTCAAAGGTCTATTTTTCTTTTATTACCTTTTCTATGTATTTTTAATACATATTTTGTTATTCAATATTCTATCCAGCATAAGATATATAATACACAGAATTCTGTATTTTTTGCAGGTATTATTAGCAATGGGTTTTTATAAAGGCTAATATTGTATAAATTATGTGGCAATTATTTTTTTCTTGTATAACTAATTAAATATTGTACTAGTATAATTTATCCAAAAAATTTATACTGGAATTACATCTTTTAAAATAGTAAAGCAAACGGGCCCTCAAAGTTTTGAAATCTAATTGGAACTTTCATAGTACTTTACGCAAGTGTCTTTTCAACTTTAGTGGCGCAGTTGGCCTTTTAATACAGCCAGCATTTCCATGGATTTGCAAGTCCACATAGTAATTAAATTAATCTGTCAATATCCATATATCCATGGATTCTATCAAAATACCAAAATATTTTGGCTGCTCCTCACACAAAAACCTTAGTGTAAGATTACCTAGGCTTAGATCAAAGTCGTCAAGTTCAAGCCAGAGCTCTTCAACAACTCCAAAATCACCAAATATTTCACGACGAAACTCATCAAGAGAAGACGAGTTTAGAGAAGTGTTCCGTCGTTTCGACACTGACAACGATGGTAATGTTAGATAACTATCAAATATTTTGAAAAAATTTGAATTTATTAAATGTGAATTTGATTTTTTTTTTTTAGATTCATTCTTAATATTTTAATATCTTTCTTGGTTTTGACAAACACATTTTGACATCCGAATTTCATTACTCCCTCCGGTCCACTATGAATGTTTTTTGGCTGTTTTCACACAAATTAAGAAATTCACATTTTAACATTAATTAACAATGAAATTGACCATATTAACATTTACGATCTCTTCACATAAATACTCCTAACACATACTCCAACACTATTTACTCCAAAGGCAATGTAGGAAAAAAATATTAATTCATTCTTGAAATCTGAAAAAATAGATATTTTGGACCACAAAAAAAAAATCACTTATTCTGGATTGGAGGGGTTTAATACTTGACCAATAAATTGGGACGGGTTTCTTTAGGAATTGTAGCAATTTTCGGTTGAAAAAAAAATTAAAAAGACATTAATCAGAAGGTGAAATTGTAAATTCAAGAATAGAAGAGCAACGTTTCTTGAAGACTACCTTTTGTGGCTTAGTTGAATCCCCAATATAGACTGTCATTATATATTCTTCCGTTAGCTCGTGGAAGAGATTTCCAAATTATCTTCAAGAAGCTTGTTTTGCCTAGCTCTAAGCCTATTGTTATCAATGTTCTAAGGATTTTAAGATATTTCAGTTCTAATAATTTGATGATTTTATAATGTGGGTTCGAACAGGTAAAATATCAGCTTTCGAGCTACGAGCATATTTTGGATCCATAGGAGAACACATGTCACATGAAGATGCTCAAGAAATCATAGACGAACTCGACACGGATGGTGACAGTTTCATAGATTTTGAAGATTTTAAGAAAATGGTGGTACAAAAAGAAGGAACAGGTGATGATGAATCCTTAAAGGCAGCATTTGAGATGTATGAAGTTGAAAAAGGTTGTGGTCGAATTACTCCTAAAAGTTTACAGAGAGTTTTGAGTCGTTTAGGGGATCCAAAATCTTATGATGAATGTGTCACTATGATACAAGTCTATGACACTGATGGTAACGGAGAACTTGATTATCATGAATTTCGCCAAATGATGACGGCTTAATTAATAAATAAATCTAATTATAAATTTTAAGTAAAAAGTAAAACAAAAATTTAAATAAGGTCAATATTAATTGAGTGAACTGAGATGACAAACAAGAATAGAAGTGGAAGCGCCCTTCTTTCAAAGAGAGGAGGACGGGTTACTCATATTTCATTTGATGGTTGAAAGCTATACAATGAGAATTCTAAAGATTCCCCCACGGAAAAATCTCAGGCAGCCTGAGGTTAATTCTTGTCTGCATGTCTGTAATTGCTCTTTTGCATGTTTTTGGTCTTGTATTATTTTTTGTTTTCAATCTTTCAAAACATTATTTTCTGTACATGGATGAATTGGAAGTATGGCATATAAATATATATGCTTCTTGTTTGATGTATTAATGGAAGCTAAGAACATCTAAAATTTCTATTTATGAGACTATGAAATTAAAGCAAGGTTGTTTGGCTGGAAATTAGGTGATATATATCTGTTGCTTAAATTATATACTATGGGAAACCGTGAAACACTACGCAGTGGCGGATTCAAGATTTCGAAGTCGTGGGTGCTCGGGAATAAAAATTATAAAAAAAGAGGAAATATAAGTTTAGTTGTGGGTGCTCACTCAATAATTATTCAAGTTTTTGGTTAATTGTCTATGTAAATCTACTAGATCTAGTCAAAGACAATGGGTGCTTGAGCACCCATAATGATCTATGTAGATCCGCCACTGGCACTACGGGAGCTTGATCTTAAGTGGAAGCTGGTTGATCAATAAAAATTAAGCAAATTACATAAAAATATATTCTTTCCAACTTTATATTAAATGAGATATATAGTCACTGAATTCAACACATATAATATCAGATGAGGTATTTCAATACTTGGTTCTCCCTTCCAATAATCTCTAGACATTAATTGTTGTTGGTGTTTGTCTTGTGGAGTCTAAATGTCAAGTTTTCACGAATTAATTACGAGATGGAATATCATCATGTCATTTTATATAATTACTGCGGCACATTGAAGTAAGTGGAATTAAGCTGGTTGATCAATAATATCGGTGAAGAAACTATTCCCAGAGTTAATCTGAACAATTCTAATTTTGTTGGTCCAATATAGTGAGCAAACAAAGAGGATCGAGTGAACAATAAATTTGGCTGGCCTCTGAAAATTTAGGTTTTCTCATCTTGAATAGAAGAAAGTGTTTGCTAAGCATGATATAGTAAACGAATATATATGCAGGGACATTGGGATATATACATTTGCTATGTGCAAGGGGCCGGCTACACATAAATTTATGTAAAATTTGAGGAAGAAGTATACAATTTGGATGGATGATTTCAGCTGTAATGGTTGACTAATTTGGATTTTCATTAAACCAGATACAAGAACAAATCCAGATATAAGTTCTTAATTATGAGGAATGAAAAAGACTCAATTAAACCAATATTATAAACTCGTGATGATGCTACACTGTTCGTTATTTATTTCTGCTAATCGCTCATTTGAGAGGGAGAGAGGCGACTGAGAGAGGCTGAAGACAGAGCTGTTTAAGAGAGAGGCAAGAGTGAGAAGTCGGGTCACGTGAACCCATGGTCTCTTCGTAAAATTAGATATTTTATATACATATCTTTTAAAATTGATATAATATTAAGTGTTGACACTTATGCTACAAGAAAGTTGAACAGTGCACTTGGTTGAAGATTAAGGACCCGTTTGGCCATAAATTTTGCCAAAATAAACTTGAGTTTTATTTGGCAAACACATGTTTGGCCATAGATTTTGCCTATATTTTGGCAACATCTCCCAAATCCTTTTGGGCCAAATCCCTAATAATACACATGTTTTTCCAAAACAAATTTGGGAAATATGTTTTGGAAACATATGTCCAAACACATTTTCATCTTCAAATCAAACTTCACCCAAATCAGATTTTTCAAAACAAATTTGGTAATCTATGACCAAACGCTAGCTAAATTATTTACCAAGAGGTTGTAAGAAAACAAAGGTCACAAGCAGCTGCATCGTTTTTGATCAAAGAAGAAGATCGGAAGAAGAAAGAAAGATTTTCAGAACAAAAGAAGAAAGAAGAAGAGTCTCAGACAAACTCATCGGATACATCGAAATGTCTAAGACTTATGTGTGTGGAAAAGTATGATACACGTGGCTGCATCAGTGACATTGATCACAAGTTTGATGGATTAAATCACAGCCATTAGATTAATGTTAGCACACCTGATATTTTTGTGGATACAGCTGTACATAAATAGATCCTTCTAGAAAAGGAATAATAGGGTGTTATAGTTAGTTATAGTTAGGCCAATACAAATAGGACAACTGTACAGAAATTTTTTCCTTTTACATTTTATTTTTCATAGGATATTTTGTATATAAACACTATCTTGGACAGAGATGAATACACAAAAAATTTCACAATTTCTCTTCCTTTTCTATCATGGTATCAGAGAAAATCTAGCTCGATTTTGGGTAATCTGAAATCATCTTCATTAATCACCTAGATCTTTCATCATGCCTGACTCTACTGATGCCTGTTCAAACCTCCAGACTCTAATACTGAGCCATTTCACTCACCTACCATAAATATACCCCCATCTCCTTCTCTTTACTCATCATCTAGCAACACTATCAATTCCCACAATCCTACCTCACCCATCTATTCTGGAGTTGATGCAACACCTAGATCAGTTGCCTCTGAGCCACATAACACACCAGTACTTAGAAGATCCTCTAGGGAATCCAGATTGCCAAGCCATCTTAATGACTATGTGTGTAGTCATGTTTTTCTAACTGATTTAACTGACTCTTGTCTAGCTCTCCCTAAACCTCAAATATGTTCTTTTGGAGCTCTATCATCTCAAAATCAGCATATCATGACTTCAATTTCAGAAATCTCAAAACCTAGCAGCTATTCTCAAGCCTCTTTGGACCCAGGTTGGAAGAAAGCCATGGACTTAGAAATTGAGGCCTTAAAGGCCAATCACACATGGGATGAAGTTCTACTACCCTTTGGAAAGAAAGCCTTACCTTGCAAATGGGTGTACAAGGTAAAGCATAACTCTGATGGGACTATAGAAAGACTCAAGGCAAGTTTGGTGGTCAGAGGAGACATTCAACAAGAAGGAATAGATTATAGCGAGACTTTCTCACCAGTGGTCAAGATGACCACCATAAGGTGTCTACTAGCAATTGCAGCCAAAAAGGACTGGGAAATTTATCAATTGGATGTAAGTAATGCATTTCTCCATGGAACTCTCCAAGAGGAGGTTTACATGAAGTTTCCAGCTGGACTATGCCCACCAAGTCCCAACCATGTTTGTCTACTTAGAAAATTCCTATATGGTCTAAAGCAAGCGTCACGACGGTATGCTCGACTTGCTGGTGCTTTGAGTTTCAAAGGGTATACTGCTTCATTAAATGATTATTCCCTATTTTTCAAGAAAGACGGGAATCTTATCTCTATTATAGCCACCTATGTGGATGACATTCTCATAAGTGGAGATAATTGTGAGCACGTGATTTTTTCCCTATATGAATTATTCCCAAAAATTCAAACAAAATGATTTCTTTATTATTTTACAATTTTTGTGAATTTTTGTGTTATTTTCTGATAATTGATGCATTTTATTGGTGTTTGTTTTAATTCATATGAAAAAATATAAAAAAATACAGTTGGCATTTGCATTTAGGATTTAGTTTCATATTTTAGGATTAATTAGGGGTTAAGTGGTTTTTAGAACAAAATATAAAGAAAATAACAAAAATAGTCCATTTTTGCATTTTTAATTGTTAATTGTTTAGGATTCAATCAATTTTTAGGAATTAATTAGCTTAATTTTGGAAATAAATTAGGTCTTTATTTTAATTTTGATTTTTTACAAAATCAGAAAAATAAACAAATGAAACAAAAAAAGGGGGGGAATAAAAAAAAACAATTAAAAAAGAGAGTAGGTCTTAAGCAAATGCCCAAATTTGGGCCAAATTGGCTTAGCCAAACGAAATCCAACCCCAAATAAACCTCTGAACCCGCCAAGGCCCAACCCCAACCCGGTCAGCCCCTCACCCTACCAAAACGACGTCGTTTCATCAAAGTTAATCACGTCCGTTGATTCTCCTTCATCCAATGGACGAGATCTAACGATGTTGTCGCTATATAAGTGTCTGAATCCCTCACCCCCTCCTCATCGTTTCCATCATCAGAAACCCAACCCCAAAACCCTAGCGCCGCCCTAAAATCCCCTTCGCCTCCGATGGCGGCGCCGGCTCCATTCACCACCGCACAAACACCCTAGTGTCTCCTCACTCTCCACACCCTTATCCAAAGTCAAGTTCCTTCGAGCATGCCTTGAATTCGTCGAATTTGAGTTTGAAGCCATGAACCTAGCCGCCCGCCTTAGGTCTCTGTGGCGGCACCACTTTCAAATCATCCCAATTCATACCCTGCACTCCCCTGACCTCCCTCATCCCTGATCCCTAACCAAAACCCCTCAAATCCCGCCGGAACTCGCCGAATTTCAAATCTAGGGTTCATGGGTTCAAACCTGTGTTGGAAAGTTTCGAGTAGTCGAGTGATTTCTAGTTAATGTCACATGCCTATTTTGGACGAAATAACATGTAACATTTAACTGGAAATTAATTTCGCAAATCAATCAAGTGGAGTTCAAGATCAGTGAATTTCTATTCCTGGTTGATATATTGTTCATTTTGTTTGAGGATTCTGTGTTGCGATTTTAGTTTAGTCTTGTTTTGATTGATTTTGTTGAAATATTCTGTTGATCTTTGGTTTTCACCTCTAGCTTAGTTAAAACCTGATTTGTTTTTTATATTTTCAGTGTTTGGAATTGGTTTAATACATGACCTGTGTGTTTAAGTGTTTCAATTTGATCGCTGAAGTTTAATTTAGTTTGAAACAAGTTCAGTATAATTTAATTGATCATAGGTTTATTAGAATATTACTGTTTCCTGTAGGGCATTTACCTTGTTTGAATTGTTCCAAATTAATGTTTACTGTTTTTTTAAATAATGCATAATAATTAAATTTTAAATCAAGTTCAACATAGGATTTTTGATTCAATTTTAGGATTAGTGTTGGATATAGCTGAATAACCTAGCCTTGAATAATTGTAGTTGAATCTTTAACTAAGGTAAAGGGGTTTGGTTGGGTTAGTAATTTCAGGGCATCAAGGGTAATTTAGGTACCTAAAATGGGTCAATTGTTAAGGCTCTTAATTTCAGAACCAAAATTAAGGGTAAGATAGGCAATTCAAAGGTACGGAATCTAGTAAGAACTTCCTGAAAACTTCTAGATGTGGGTTTTAAGGTAAATTTCAGAAGATAAGTGAGTTAACTTGAGAAACAAGTCAATAAATGAGGACTAATCTGAAAAATAAATAGGGACTAAAAAGAAAACTAAAAATC